TATTCTACTAATTGATCTACTTACGGGAGTGATGTCTAGGATGGATTTAGTGAGGTGCTTAAAGTGAGATTTCCAAACAGTATACTCTCCATACCAAACAGACCCTACCTCTGATATGATCCCACCTTGTTATTCCTTACTTGATAGATCTTGATGTAGGCATTAGGATTATTGAGGAATCTAGACTATCCTTATTATAGTCACAAGGAATATAAAAAACGGACTAAGACTTAGTGTTGTATACATCTAGGTCTTTTGAAAGGATAAAGTGTTAAGGAGAAGCGCTACCCTAACCTCGAATCACCTACTTTTATCAGGTGAGTGCATATTTATTTTCATCTTACACATATATATATATATATATATATATATATATATATATATATATGAGGTATTTAGATAATTAATGCTATACGTGCTTATGTGCAAAGATGTTATGTGTTATATGAAATAATATAAGATGATTTTATATGATTTAACATGTATGCATTTTTACATCTATAAATATATTGGGTAGTAATGGGTAATGAGGGATGAATAGAATAATGAAGGAGATGGATGATGAGAAATGAAAACAATAATAATAGGCCTTGAATTACTAGTATTACCGTACTAAGTGATATAGTCATCTAACAGAGTATAAATGATGACCACTGGACTATTGATGATAGTGTCTCATGGCATGCTGTAAGGTTTATAACCTTTAAGCGATGGATTATGTGTCCATTTGATGTACTCTACTTCCTATTGACATGTATTGTAGAGAAATCCCTAAAGGAATACTATCATCAATGATGATTTTGATGATCCTTAGGAATGAATATAAAAGAAAACTTACTGATATGTATTGCAGAGAAATCCATGAAACAGTATTGTCTGCAACAATGATTGAAGATCCTTAAGATAGATTCTTAAGAATAAAAATAGAAGATAATGGGGATGTGTAACCGAGTTAATTGTCTGATAATTAAACATATGCACTCACCAAGTTCCCAATCCAACCAACTCAGTTTCTTTATATCATAGGTATCGATATGAAGGTGTTTGATGTTTGGATTTGACGAGGATTAAAGGAAATGTAGGCCATTAAATATTTTAAGGCCAATAATGATTACATTTATGTTTATATTTCTTGTATCAATTATGACATTCCAAGTTTTAATAATCAATACATTTCTTTAGAAATACTTTGTATGTGATAAATTGCTCTATATAAAGAATACTCTCTTTTTAAAAAAGCATAAATAAAAATGACTTTTTTGATCATGACTATTAAGGATGTCACACTATCAATAAATATTGAATACTGAAGTTTTGATTTGTTTATTTAATAAAAACAGCCGTACAATCATAGTAAATAAATGAGAAGAGTACATCTGTCAAAAATAGAATAGTAAAAATTACTACTTTTCTATTGACATCTGCATTTTGCCAAGGTTTATATAGAATAAAACTAATTGAAAACCATTTTCTGATACCATTCTTTAAAAATAAATAGGAAAGTTGTCTATGTTCTCCATATTTACAAAAAGGTTAATTAAACAAACTTTTCACACATCCACTACACTCTCCATTTTGTTAAAATCATCACTTTCATAAAAAAAGTAAAAATAACCAAAATATCCCTATCTTAAACCTAAAAAACAATGATAATTTGTTAGGTGAATACCAATTTATTTTTATTTATATATATTTTTTTAATTATTTCTTCTTCCTATTACAACAATGTATCAATTATAGCATTTGCTCATTTGTTTTGGGAATTAGCCTAATTTTTTTTTTCTATTTTGTTTCCTTCCCGATGGTTATTTTTTTATGGTAATAGTTATTTTTTTATTTTTTTTATTTTTATTATTTTTTATAATGTAGTTGTATTAAAATTGGTATTGCATCTTGTTTTAGGTCTTTTGTTTGAAGCTAAAACAAACATCAATAGACAAGGACTGATAAATACAAACTTGGTTAGGACAACCGAATGGAAAAACTACTATGCCACCAGGATCATATATGGAATTTTAGTTTGAGAACATGATAATAGGACAAGTTATACCTTCTAATTTTATTTCACACATTGATAATCATTTTGTAAATTCTAGAAAACTTGCTTTCAAAAAATATCCGATCTGTACATTGCATGGGTTTCTTTACTGGTTTTATTTAATGTTTAATATATTAAGTTTCTTTAAAATTATAAATAGTTATTATGTATTTATAATTTCTAATAATAAATAAAATTATAAGCATATGTAGGGCTTATTATATTATATTTTAGAAAATTATGTGTTTTTATTAAATTTAACAACATTATTGAGAAAGAAACAATTACAAATAAAATTAAAAACAAAAAACCAAAAAATACAATCAATAAACCAAAGAGAAAAGAAATACAAAAAGTAGAAACCACAAAACCGATGTTTAAATTAAATAAGTCAACTAGTCTAAATAGTTATTAAATAAATTTGGTTGGATAGAATTATTAACCATTTTTCAATCCTCCAACCGTTTAATATATATATATATATATATATATATATATATATATATATATATATATATATATATATATATATATATATATAATTCAAATATTATCATGTATCCATTTAAAATTATACTTATGTATTATTATATATGTTTTAAAAAAAATGATATCCTAATTCTCATATTTTTTCTTGGTACCGACAACACTACTACTTTTCAAAACCAATTCGAAATTAAATATTTTTAATGTTATTTGAATAAATTATTTGTATTTGTAAATTGGGAATTTGGTTTTTGTCATACTTTGAAATTTCATTTTTAGTCTAGAATTAATTTAAATAGTGTAATAATTAGCTATTTTATTTACTTTTTTCTTAAATTTTTAATTTTTTAAAATTCAAATAGATTAACTTAGATTAAATGAATTGTGAAATTTAATAGGTTAAATTTAATAACATTTTTGAGGAAGAAACCATTACAAATAAAATTAAAACATAAAACAAAAAATACAATCAATAAATCAAAGAGGAAAAAAAAAATACAAAAAGTAGAAACCACAAAACTAATGTTTAAATTAAATAAATCAATCCGTCTAATTAATTAATTAAATAAATTTGCCTGGATAAAATTATTAACCATTTTCCAATCCTCCATCCGTTTAATATATATTAGGGGTGTCCAAAAAAACCGCAAAACCGAGCCGAACCGGCCGATCCGAAACCGAAAAAAACCGAAACCGAAAAAAACCGAAACATAAAAAAACCGAAACCGAAAAAACCGGATATCAACGGGTCGGTTTTGGTTCGGATACTTAGGTATCCGTGGATAACCGAACCGAACCGCTTGATATATATATATATATATATATATATATATATATATATATATATATATATATTCATTTTCATTGAACTTTTAGTTATATCCCAAACAAAAATCATGATCGGCTATTTCAATTTTACACTTCTACGTTATGTTTTCTTTTATTTTTATTTTTATTTTTATATTTATTATACCAGTTATATTGTATGTTATTTGACCTTTATTATGTTTTTATAATTCTTTGGATTTAGTAATTTTTAGAAAGAAATCGTTGGAATGAAGTTTGTAATTTTAATTGTATTTAAATTTTTATATTTAGCGGGTACCCGTGAACCGAACCGTGGTTACCCGCCTTTATACGGTTCGGTTTTTTTGCTAATTCAGTTCGGTTTCGGTTAGTGCACATGAAGTACCCGCCCCGTGATGACGGTTCACAATTTTATTACTATCCGAACTGAACCGCCCCGTTAACACCCCTAATATATATATAATATATATATATATATATATATATATATATATATATATATATATATATATATATATTATCATGTATCCATTTAAAAATTATACTTTTGTATTATTATATATGTTTTAAAAAAAATGTTGTCCTAATTCTCATATTTTTTCTTGATATTGACAATAGTAGCTATTTTTGGAAATCAATTCGAAATTAAATATTTTTAACGTTATTTGAATAATTTATTTGTATTTGTAAATTGGGAATTTGGTTTCTGTCATACTTTGAAATATCATTTTTTGTTTTGAATTATTTTAAATTGTGTTATAATTAGCTATTTTATTTATTTATTTTTAAAATTTTAATTTTTTAAATTCAAATAGTGTAACTAAGATTTAACCTATTTATTTAATAGGTTGAGTTGAAAAATATATACCGATAACAAGTTGATGACAAATCCATTTACCTATTTAAGGTTGAATTGTATTGAAAATATCAATCCATTTAATAAACTATTTGAGCTTGGTTGTTATATTCAAACCATTTAATAAATAACTTGAATTGAACATAACTTATAATTAAACCTAAATTGATCCATTATCTGCTCTATTCATATTAATAATAAATGTTGTTGGGAAGTTAAAAAAAAAGTTATACTCTATAATAAAAATAATATATTTTAGTGAAAAATGGTGCTTTTTTTTTAAATAATATGAAAAGTTTTAAGGGATATAACTAATCTTAATTGTTGAGAATGTAGTCTAAATAATTTTCCAGTACTTTTTTTTTTTTTTTTTTTTTTTTTTTTTTTTTTTTTTTTTTGTGGAGGGGAGATAGCTTGATGTCGTACAATGAATTTGCTCCCAAATGGTTAGTTTGCAAAAGACAAATACCCAAAACATGTGACGTTTACTCAAAGGCTTAAGAAAGAAGCAAAAGTATAGACCTCGTATATCTCTTAGCAAAATATTATAATTAATGGGTGAAAACAAATCTTAAATATGCTAAATAAAGATAGCCGATTTATATATGTAACTCATTGTGAGATATATGAACAACGTCCCGCCAATTCATTTTAATTGTGTATAAAAGTCGTTTTCGTACATAGATAGAAAAATCCATTTAGCGTATTAAATCCTAGAAAACCCATTTTAAAAAGTACATTTCCGTACTTTTAATACCTTAAACCCTTCCATACTTATTCAAGTACTCAACAATCTCATTTTGCCTTTTAGCAATGGCTTCTTCTATTCTCAAAACCTCATCAACCATAATTTGCACAACACTCGCCATTTCAACATCGATTCTAATCTTCATCATTGTTTTCTCATTTTCGAACCATCCTAAATGCCTACAGCCTAACATCATTCACATGACAACACATCAATCCTCATTGCCATCTTATCACACAACAAACATTTCCCACCTTGTTTTTGCAATATTGGGCTCTACAAATGCATGGCACTATCGAAAATCCTACATTGAGTCATGGTGGCGTCCAAACATCACACGTGGCTACCTCTACCTCGACACAGCTCCCACAGACGATCTCTTGCCATGGTCGCATGCCTCCCCTCCTTTTCGTATTTCTGATGATAATACAAAGTTATTGGAGGAAACAAAACATGTTTCACCATTCATGGTGCGAATGGTGCATGCGTTGATTGAGGTTTTTAGGGAAGAGAGGGAAGGGGTACGATGGTATATCATGGGAGATGATGACTCGATCTTTTTTGTTGACAATTTGGTGGATGAATTGTCAAAATATGATCATACAAAGTACATATACATTGGTGATAACTCGGAGAGTATATCATCAAATCAAATATTTTCGTATGACATGGGATTTGGTGGAGCCGGAGTCATATTGAGTTATCCATTGGCGGAAATGGTGCAAAAAAATCTTGAAGATTGTCTTGGAAGGTACCCGTATTTGAGGTTTGCCGATCAAACATTGATGACTTGTATTAATGATTTTGGAGTTTCACTAACTATTCATCGAGGCCTTCATCAGGTATTACTCATCAAACATCGGTTTAAATAAAAAAAAGGGTATACAATTTTACAAAACAGGTTTAAGTACTAATGTCTAAATTTTGTTAAGTGATCGTGATTAATTTTTAAGACAAACAGAATTACTATTGGTTTAAAGTTTGGACTAGTTTACAAAATAATAACCAACTTTCATTAATTGTTGTTTCATATAGGGCAATGGAATTTTTTTAGGAGTTTTAAACACTCAAGTTTCAATTTTATTTCGTTATTGTGAAACGTTTTGGACAATGTCATGTATAATAACCAAAAGAAACATCACTAACAAAACTAATATCACAACAATACACTTATACGTATTCTAGTCCATATCATCTAAACATTGGTCATGTTATCAATTATTACTTGATTCTGATAAAATAAATATAACTAAAAGTTTATTATCACCGCTTTGAATAAAAATTTCATGACAATAAGACTTTTTTGTTGATCCCTTTTGTGTTTCAAAAATTCAATTAAGAAACTAGTTTACTATTTAATTTTTTAATTTTTTAAATTATTATTATTTTTGTTTGTAGATGGATCTACATGGGGATGTATCTGGATTTTTATCTTCACACCCAAAAACTCCATTGCTTTCTCTCCATCATTTAGACCACCTTGACCCGATCTTTCAATCTATGGATCGTTTTGAATCTGCAAAACACCTCATGAAAGCTGCAGACGTTGACCAATCTCGTTTGGTGCAACAAACTATATGTTATGATAGACGATTAACTTGGTCTTTTTCATGCTCATGGGGATATTCGATTCAGATTTATGAGAAAGTCATTCCTCGTAGCATCCTAAAGTTCCCGTTTGAGACATTCAAGCCATGGTTCTTGGACTCTCAGCCACCTTTATTCATCTTCAACACAAGACCAGTAGTCGCAAACGATCCATGTGCAACTCCTCATGTGTTTACATTTGAATCCATAAAAACTATCAATGGAAGTGAAGTTCTAACAAATTATGTGCGCATGGCTTCACGTGGGTTGTCGACTTGTGAGTTAGCTGGAAACCATTCTGCAGAGTTGATCTCTAGAATTGAAGTTGTGTCACCGATTAAAAAACCCAAGCAGGCGAGTTTTAATATTAGTTTACATTGCTTTTTTTTTTACTTTAGGGTTTATTTCATTGTGTTGATTGATTATCGAATTTTGTTTCATTTGATGTAGAATGGAAAAACCGAATGCTGTGACGTGGTCGAGAGCAATGTCATGGAGGTCACCAAGATAAAGTTACGAGATTGCTTGGATAATGAGTTAATTGCTTGAGATACGTAGAATATATATATTGGTAGGTTTAGTCGCGTTCTATTGTTGGAAGTTTATCAATGGCTACTTCTTCCATATATATATATATATATATTTGAGCAATTAAAAGTTCTCCATTTTATATGTATTTCTTTGCTTGTTTGATGAAATTAATAGGCCAAGTTAGAGATGTGGAAAATGGAGTTGGCGATGGTCGTGGATTTAGCTATAGCGAGCTTCTAAATATAGTGATTTTAGAGATTCAAAATTATTTAAGACTCCCGATGAAAAAAATATAAATTTTAAGTATAGATTATCCTTCCTACCAATTATCCTAATTATTTAAATGATAACATGTATTATTTTAATATCTTAAAATATTATTAAAATTTATTAAATGAATATTAAATTTATACATGTCATCATTTAAGAAATTAGGTTGGATGATATTTAGAAAATATTTAATTTCTCTAGATTAAATTGTATGTGTTGGTTTTTTTTAAGAAAAAATAATGAATACAGTCATTTTCGATCCCTAATTAGTTTAGTTGGACACTTGGTCGCCAAAGTTCTTTTTGAAACCTTTATAAAAGAATCTCTAAGCCAATTAGAACGTATTTTTGTAACTTGTTATTATTGATTTTTTATTGATTATTTATTATCATTAGCCCATTATATCATATAAGTTATTTGTGTTTTTTATTGATTACCAAATAAGCCAATTGAGAATAACCTCTTAATATGGAAGAATGGGGATGTCAGGTTTGATCTTTGGTGTTAATAATAATTGATGTATTAACACTAACAAATAACTAGTTAATCTACTGTTTATATATATATATATATATATATATATATATATATATATATATATATATATATATATATATATATATATATATATATTATGATGTCATTATTTTTTTCTGTTTGATTATTTAGAAAAAAAATTCAATAAATAATATGAAGAATTACATAATTAAAAATAAACTTTTAAGATAAGACAAATGAGTTAAATAAATAAAATATATTATAAAAATTTAGAGTGATTCATTAATAATTAATATTAAATAAAGAAAAAATAATAATAATAATAATAAAAACAACAAAATAAATATTGTTATAAAATAATTAAAAGTTATTACTTAACATAAAAAGAGTCCATTAATGAGGGACTAAGAGAATCAAAATTGGGAACTTAATTTGTTACGAATTTTGATTTTATGGGTTGTTTTTATCAAAACGGAAAGTTAAGGGAGCCTAGGGGATAAATCCCATGGACCATTAGACAATTGGTTGCAGACTCTTTTATCTATTGGGCCAAAATCGAGCACACTCTACGAGTGCACCATCGACTTTAACGGAGAAAAGGGTGAAGGGTTGTCAATTTGTAAAGCATGTGAGAAAGGAAGAGAAGCCACTGAAATCCTACTGGAGGTCACCGGAAAACGCCACTGGAGAAGAGAGGAGGGAAGGGCGGTTGCGCTAGAGCTTGACCTCTTTAAGATTGATATAAACTTCTTATTCTTAAAGTTTTTTTATTCTCTCTTCTATCTTGAAAACATAACATATACCACCGCTAACCACCACCATCGAATGTGGTGGAAGCTACTAGAAAACCACCCTATAATAAACATGAAGTCGCTATGTGGTGATGAGGTCAATGATGCTAAATTCTACATGGATATATTGTCTAAAATCTCATATCCTTCTTAAGAGTTTAACAATGGTGTGAGGGTTTTTGTCTCCTTAGGACCATTACTACACCACTATGTCACTAGCACTTCATGGTGGTTGAAAGATGTTGCATTTTCCATCTCTTTTTCAGTAGGTATTAACTAAATAATGTGTTTGAATTGAAGACCCAACCCATGAATCCCATCTAGTGAACATTAAGTGAATAAGTGTGATTTATATGTTGATTTTTTAGTCTTGATATTAATTCAAGGCGATGCTCTTATTACAACTAAAAATATGGATGATTAGAAATTATATCTTGCTAGAATTGATAGATATGAACTTAATAGTTACGTGCTTAATTAGTGGGATAGAATGGGGACTAAAACATGATGGTATTGTGATTTCATGAATCTAACCTTTTTATTTTGAAAAATCATATAAAATCAATGGGATGTCAAAATTATATGAAGTTTATCTCCTTGTAAAGGTATGCATATCTAATGTCATCATTCGAAGGGTTTTGTTTGGTTTTATCTACAAATATGTAGATTATACATCCAATGCAGACTCGGACCAGTCCCCACTGATCATATTAATCATTTTGTAAAAATCATAACTAAATCTTCGGGAACTACAAATGATATGAGGTCTTGGTTTGGAACTAGGAAATTAATAGGGTATAGCACTACAAGAAAAAGACCCTTTTACGATGTGCAAACCACAACACTCACTGATTTATGTTACGCAAAAGAGAGTGACATTAAAAAAGTGTCATCTCTTCAAAAAATTTAAGGATTCATGTCACACATTATTGTGTGCCCTTAAATTAGTGTCTCTAGAAAAGAAATTAAAAACACGGAGGGCGCTTAATTTTAAACGTGCGTTTAATTTTAATGAAATGCGCGTTTAGCAGAGGGGGAAACGAAATCCCCAAAATTTTGAAAACCCGTCTTCTACCCTCTTTCTATCTTTTCAATTACACACTCTACTCTCCCTCTCCCTCCTTCTCTCTTCTCTCTGATCCGTTTCTCCGCCACTCCTTAATACCTTGCAGGAATCTAAAAATTAGAAAACCTCGTCTTCACAAAGTCTAGGAAACTAGGGTTTTTTCAACCCTCAAAGAACGACCCACATCCTCCATAGATCGATCTCTATCGCTTCATTTCTCACAAGATATCGAACACTTTACATTCATAGGGCCACAAAATTGACTATTGCTTGAACTAGGGTTTCAAGTTTGTATCACATAACCCTCCCTCAATCTGTTCTCCCTGTTTAATCGATTCGCTGGTTTTGCTCGACTCCCCTTCACGCCGACCATCGATGTTCAATCGTCGACCATCACCGTAACTATAAGTCTTTATCGAAGGTTCATCTATTATGTAAGTCTTTATCGATGTTCAATCATCGCTCACGTTGACCATCGATGTTCAATCGCTTTGTGTGTACTCAAAACTCAGGAAGATTGTAGACGCGGGTGAAGGCAGAGAGAGAGAGAGAGAGAGAGAGAGAGAGAGAGAGAGAGAGAGAGAGAGAGAGAGAGAGAGAGAGCACTTCTCCATCGATGACGTACGATTGTGTTAAGCTTCCTCCTTGGGCTGAAAACCCCATTGATTTTGTGCATAGGCATCGCATGGCTCTTGAGAGTGAGCATATCTCTGCACATTTACATGAATGGATAGATCTCATATTCGGGTGAGCTCTAATTAATTCATATTCTAATATCGGTGGGTTTTATTTTGTTTTGATTCTTTTGACTTTGTAAAAGGTTGAAATAAACCAATTTTGATATAGATAAAATCACTGATCCAGTAAGTCTTCTTGTTAGTGGATTAATTAAGTTCTTTTTTTTTTTTTTTACATGCGTAGCAGGCACCATCAGTTTCTTAGCTCCTAAGTATGCACTCACCGGTTAGTTCTCTAATATCCTTCTACAAGCATGGATGCTAGCACAACTTCTTTGTTAATTTTAGGTCCTAAATCAATTAGTGTCTCTTAATCTTAAGAGTTACATTGACTAGGGTTTCTTCATTTTTACATCTAGTGTTTCTGTTTCTTGGCACAATGCTTGATTAACTCAACTAGGATAGTATTTCTCTTTTCATTTAGATAATCTTGAATTGTTATTTTAAATGTTTAATGAATTTTGTTAAACTGAAAAACCAATATATTCATAGTGAGATAATATGATATTGAGTGAAAATAAAACACCAACTGAGAATTAACTGAAATTAATAATCGAGTCTAGTAACTAAGCTAATTATGTAACATTCGTCGCCTATAGTTTAATTGATTAAATTTTCTTCAATGACATAAATAGCATATAATATATTTTTACTCAAATTTATGTTGTAGAATTTGAGCCAGCAAAGTGAGGTTGCAGATCTGTTGGGAGGTTTTAAACCTATGAATGCACAGTTTCTATGCCTTCTGCTTTATCAGGAGTTTGAAAGTCTCTCTAGAAGTACCTTCTCCTTAAAGGTACAGTCTATCTAAACCCTAAATCCTAAACTTAAACACTAAACCCTGATGTATTTTGGTGAACACATGCAGGACAATGAGTATTTTCTTGCCATACTAAGAAAATCAATCAATGACAAGAATTGGATCGTGTTATTTAGTGGTTTACAAAAGGGTGTTCGTACAGTGGTCAAAATTGGAACGCAGAAGCCTGGTGTGAAAAGGAAAATACTTTTAGGGGAAAAACTAATAAAATCATGAAAAATTCTCTTTAAAACTCGAAGTAGCTCATGGTCAGATTAATGCTTCAGATGGGATGGTTTTTTCATTTGTAGAGGGTGTTTTTATCACAGCTTTTAAAAATGGTGATTGGATATTACATTTTTCTGAATATACATGGTGCTTTTAGTTAAACATATTGACTTAAATGGAGATATGGTTGATATGCAGGTGTTACTCTTGGAGCAATGGAGATTGCAAGTTCATGTTCATTAGCTTAGTTGTCACTTTCCTCAGCCACAGAAGCTTCTAATAGGTTTACTCAATTATAACACTTGTTATCTAATTACACGTTTCTATTGTACTAGTAAGTGAATATTTTATCACAAGTTGGAGATTCTTAAAAACTATCAGGTACTACTACTACGTGCTACTACTACAATTCATTATTAAAACCTGCTCTTTTAGTCTGTTTTATTTCATATTTTTGATTTGATTTTGATTGCAGAACTCGGAGTTTTGTAGTCAATTCTAGCGATCTTATTTTGTGTTGATTGTGCAAGAAATATTTATTGTGCTGACCGTTCCTTCCCCTGTCTACATTTCATTCTTCCCTATTCACTGTTTCTGTTTTGCTCTACTCTTTTTTTCTGTTCCCTTCTTACCTGAGTGTAATTCTGATTAAACCTTGGTGTACAAGGTTGTATTCACAGGTTTCAACTTATAGTATGTATATCATCTCTAGTCTACTTTTTATTTGAATCATATTCATGTATATAGGAGTACGATATATGCTGACATGGAGGACTAACAACGGTCTATGAGCATCTTTGCAATTTACAGAAGGTATATGGCACAATCAAATGTATTAGTTTACAAGAAATTATACTCTCTGCCAATCATAGAATGAATATTGATGTGTATTTGAACTTTGAAATCTGTTATTATCAGAAGCTCTCTAAAGTTTTAATTTACATTTTGAGTAAATTACATTATTGGTCCCTGATTATTACTGATTTTGTCAATTTTGGTCCCAAAAAGTTTTCTCTTGTAATTCTGCTCCTTATTTAGGTTTTTATAATGTTTTTCGTCCCTGTTCAACTAGAATGGCTGTTTTTTTTGACCAAAACTGAAACAATCAGCTATCTTAGGGACCAAAAATAGTCATTTTACTTGGAACAGGGACCAAAGTTGCTACAAGAACCTTAAATAAGGACCAAAAGTCAAGAAAAACTTTTTGGGACAAAAATTACAAAACTCAGCTATACATAGGGACCAAAAATGTAATTTTACTCCTACATAGATATAGAAAGTAAGAATTTTGAGTCCTTTATATGTTTAAGTTGTGGGCCACCAATAACTTCAATTATACATTTTTTTTCTTTTTTCTTTTTTGTTTATGTGTATTTATATTTTTATTTGTTTTTGGAAATGCATGTTGAAGATCACCACCTTTATTCGGTAAATTATATGCATTGGCGCGACCCGAATATGTGGCATGGAGTACCCTGGAAGCCATGCGAATGCCTTGGAAGATGCAATGAGGAAGTATATATTTGATTTTTTAAAGGAACAAACAGATCTACTCCATCAACTCGTAAGATTTTTTTTTCGCAATAAGTAGTTTCTGGATAAAATGTTGGATAATGAATAAATGATTTAATCTCAACAGGTTAGTCAATTGAGCCCTAAAATTTTAAAGTCTGAAGGGGTCCCGGTTTATCGAGCTTCTCAGTGTTGTGGAGAGTTTATTGTTACTTTTCCAAGGACATATCATGCGGGATTCAGTTGTGGTTTTAACTGTGTGGAGGCTGTCGATGTGGCCCCTATTGATTGGATGGAACATGGACAAGGTGTAGTCGAGGTGTACAGTCAGCAAAGACGAAAAACATCAATATCTCATGATAATTTGTTATTAGCTAGAGAAGGGATTAGGGCTTTATGGGAAGCTTCATTTTTTAATAAAGAAACTTGCGAGAATTTATATTGGAAACATGTTTGTGGGAAGAATGGGATACTCACCAATGCTGTCAAGGTAAAAAAAAACTTTATTTATTTATTTGTTTTTTTCTATTGTTATTTTAATATAATAATTTCAAATGAGAGTTGAAATGGAGCTAAAAAGGATCCAGCACCTTCAAACCAGTTTTCAGTTTCAAAAAATGGAAGATGATTTTGAAACAACTAATGAAAAAGAATGTTATCTATGTTTTTGTGACTTGCACATGTCAGCAAGCACCAGTACATGCTTGCTAGATCGCTTCGTGTGTCTAAGACATGGGTGCTCTATAGAATATAGATTTGAATCTTGATAACATTGGTTCAACAAAAGTAGAGAACAATGATCAATTTCATAATATTGGTTGAATTTGTTGAAGGTATCTGAACGAAAATGGTAAGCAATCCTTACATGTTGATGTCATGCATTTTTTTGACTTGCGCTCTTTTTGGTTTGGTTTGGTTTTCAATGTTATTCATTGCATGCATGCTAAAATAAACACTAAATAGTTTAATAATCTAGAAAACAACCAACCTTTTATTGTTTTGACAGGTAGTTGAAGCCGCTTTCAACAACATATCTTTTTTACTTCAGATGTTTTCTTATGCTGGCTTCTGGAATTATTCTATTACAACAAACATGTTTAGTAAGGGAATCTAGTCCTTAATCAATTGTTTTTGTTCTTAGGTTTGTTTGTGGTTCATTCCTAAGACCTGCCATTGACTAGACTTACATGGATCAAATGTAAAACTTCTACCAAGGGCAGCATGGGAATAACTCAGCAACAAGACCTGTTATTGATGTGAAATTACATATAAAGTAGATAAACTAAGGCACTTATTCATACATGTTGTACTGGTATATATTAATTAACTTTTCTAATGTTGTTCTTTTACAATATTGCTCTTTTACAGGTGGTTGGAATTGAACCTAAAGATGGTTGCTGATATAGGAATAGTGGGTGCTCCAAATGTAAGAAAAATCATGTTTTTAAGTGTTATTAGTGTTGACATATAGTGTTGTTTGACATGTAATGTTAGCTAACTTGTTTGACATGTGATTTTTTTGAAATGAATTTTCATTCTTATGTATGGTATTTTATTTTGTATTATGATAATTTCAATCTGTTGTTTAATTTAAAAATTAGTAATTCTATCAATATATATATATATATATATATATATAACATTTAAAATTATGACACGCAAATATGTGCATCTTCATTTATGACAGGGGCTTTAATGATACGCAATGTGTGTCGTAAACACGCATCGTAAGGTTACAAAACGCATATTCGTGTCGTCTTCCTTTATGACAGGGCTTTCATTGATATGCATTGCGTGTCATAACCGTGCGTCGTAAATGTGTGTCGTAAATGCATGTCGTAAATAGACGACGCGCAAAAGCGTGCCGTCTCTCGTTATGACAGGGCCTTCCTTGACACACATTTGCGTGTCGTCTGAGCGTTTTACGACACGCATTGCACGTCATAAAAGGCTGTTTTTCTAGTAGTGTAGGGTTAATCGCTATGCCTACACCCTTAGGAAGTTCGAACTACAAATACCACTGAGCTAAACTAAGGACCAAACCAAGTGGAAGTGTCGAACCACGTCCAAGCACCGAACTATACCTAAAAGCGTCGAACATCGTGAAAGAACAAAAAAAGTACGATTTGATGTCACCACAGTGCATAAAGGACATGGGAACTCGAGAAGTACAAGTTGTATGTAGAAAAGCGATTGATAGAACCTGATACTTACAAGGAATATCTATATAATGGTTTCTAAGCCTTTCTTGCTCTACCCTTGGGTGTATGACCAAAAATGAGATAAGATAGTAGACCAATTCAGCTAATAGGAAGGTTGAGAGATCTCTTCTTTAGCTATAAATAGGTAATTGGATCCACCTTTTCCAGGCACGCTGTAAATCACTAATTCATCTTAATAAAGAACATTCACAAAAAGATTATGTCGAAATCTTCACTAACTTTACCATTGGATTGTTGGCTCAAGATCTTCTCTTGGACAACTAGCTTTCGAATTTGTGATTTTTTTTTCTAGGTTCTTCATTTCTAAAAGGAGTCATCTAGCTCAGTAATATGGAGACTGAACTTGGGGGCACATTAGGTGGCGCCATTTGTAGGACTCCACAACAAATATCCAACGAAGGAAAACCAGTTGCCAATGCGAGTCCCCTCACAAGAATGCAGAACTTTGAGGAAACACCACAAATCACGACAATGGTGGCACACATAAACACAACAGCGGAAGTCCTAAAAAGGGGGCAAGGGTGTAAAGAATGTTCGGAAATATAAGAAAGAGAAATGGATGAGTTTGAAGCTTTCAGAAGATTCAAGGCTATGAGAAAACAACAAGTGGAAAGAAGTAGTCATATGTAACACCCCCAAACCGAGAACGACAGAAACGTTCGGGGGCAGAGGACATCATGTACAGTATCATAACAATGCACAATAGTAAAATAAGCAACAACGTCCATCGCATTAATAGAATAGTTAATACATGTGTGTTTTGTGAATAGTTGTATGACTCCAAAAATGTATATACAACAAAATAAAAGACGAGTCTTGAACATGCTCCGTCTTCTCAAAACTCATCTAGTGTACCTGTCTATTGGTTCCCTGAGAATACAAGTTATTTTGAAAGAGAGTATCAACATTTAAGTTGGTGAGTTCATAAGTATTTTAGTGTCAAGTATTTGCATTTATTTCATGAAAATGTTTGTATCTGTCTAGTGAAAATGTTTGTATCTTTCCCAGAAAAACCTATATTTTCTGTTTGTTTCTGTCTAGTGAAAATGTTTGTAGTATTCTACCAAGACTCAACTGTTTGTATGTTCCGTTCTCTTGAAAATAGTGTAAAATGTATGTTTGTACTTGAAATAGTATAAATGTAGGTTTTCCATATTTGTAAAACTATCTTTACGCGAAAAATAGTATGCATTTCTCATGTGAGAATATCACTGTATGAATGTAATGGAAAAATGAAGATTTACAGTAGTATTGTGTAAAATACACTACTAATGAATTAACTACCTTGAAAACCAAACTGGTTAATTAAGGTTAAAATGTGATAGCGTTATAACCATACTCGATAGACTAGTATAAAACACGACGTTCTTCAGGTGTCAAAAATGGTATGACATTTGTCACCCGTAGACCTGCAGGATGGTTAATCCCGTATAGATCTATACACAAACTCACGCTCTCCCTCCAGGAGACTCTGGTTATAAAACGTGACATAGCAAGTATATTGCTATGCCATGAAATAGTATCTCACATTTTAGTTATCTTGTTCTTGTTATAGTATGTAAGTTCCTTTATGTTTTTGTAAATGGATAGTATACTTTGTAATGAATAGTGATAGTATGTATGTGTTGACTCATGTATGTTTCTCTGTTCTAGAAAATAGTGTGTAGTGATCCTCTAAACTATACCTATTATCGTTTACTAGAAAGTTTGTTTGAGCTATTACTGATTTGTAGAAAAGACTCATTTGCCCACTGTATGCAACTGAGTTAAGTATGTACATTGAAAATGGAGTTTAATATTCGTGTATATATTTAGCAATTATAACTATGATTCAGCCGACATTCGGACTAGTGATCCTACCCTAAGCCTACAACCAAACAAGGAACAGGAGTCTAGGTATTTAGCAATAGTCCTAAGTCCGTTCAAGCATACTTATACATAAATATATAAACAAATAAGATTTTGATAATAAACAACAATCTAAAATAGTTTAAAAGAGTTTTGAAATGATTTTAACAACAATTATAAGCATAAGAAATCCTTTGTTTGTTTCTTTTCACATGTAAATGTTAACACAATTCTATTGTGTTCTACTTGTATTCCCCCCCCCCCCCAAAGCATTTAAAAAGGTAAATTGTAGGGTTATGAACTCACTGTGTGTGAGTGATTCATATGAAAGTTCGATATAGGATGTTTGATTCCACTAGTTAGCTCATGGAACAAAACAAGTCCTAAAATGCATTTCACGTGATATATATATGCATACAATTAATGTATAGAATCATAGATACGATAAGTAAATCGACTAATGTGTAAGTGTAAATTACAAATAAGAGTCTTAGAAGCAAAATGGAAGGCTGCAAGGAGTTTACGACCGTAAATGGTTCACGGCCACTTGAAGATTCAAGTGTTTTCGGCTGGAAACTCAGTGAGTGTTCTTGGTGAAATAAAGGAGATGTAGGTATTTACTACTGAATTTTCTTGATAAAAAGAAGGTGATTTAAGGGTTTTCGGCCCACTGATCTTGATCACTAAATAACACTTGAAGATCCTAAGCAATATCCTAAGAAGATTCAAAGGATTTGAAGGATGATAGTTGAGAGAGAAAGGTATTTGCGGTTGAAGATCTTGAGAGGGGAGGGGTGTGTTTTTGGCTGGAAGTGAAGAAGTGAGGAGGAGTTCACAGTTAAATTGATGGGACACCTTCATTGGAAACCACACCGAAGGGATAAGACCAAGTGTTTGCAGTCGAAGAGTTCACAGACAAGGTTCACGGCTGCGAACCGTTTGCAGTTCGCAGGTTTACTTCCCATGCGAGGGTTTGCGGCTCATTCGAAGGTCCTCGGTCCTAAATGATCCCCTCATTAAATACACAACACCTTTTAATACAAGGTCCATACACCTATAACTCATTAATCTAACCATAATAAGATAATTAAAGAAATTAGTTTGACCTTTATTGGATATGTTTGACTTTCATTGACCAAGTTTGACTTTTACACGATTGAAATTATGGGATTTCACAACACCTTTTATGGGTTGTCATATCATCCTCGGGTTAGATGGAATTTCTTACCAAAATTAAGTCTAAGAGATACACGTGGACTAAGGGAAAAGATGAGTATACTTATCTTCCATTTGATCCTCTCACTTCCAAGTGAATTCAGGTCCTCACTTTGCATTCCAGCGAATCTTCACTATCGGGATACGACTTTGTTTGGTTTGGTTGATTTCCCTATCCATGATCTCTACCGGTTCTTCCACGAAGTTGAGGCTCTCATTGATTTGGAATTCATCGAGTGGGATAATAAGAGTCTCATCAGACAGACACTTCTTTAGGTTCGATACATGGAAGGTAGGGTGTACGTTGCTAAGTTCTTGAGGTAGTCGGAGTTTGTAAGCTATAGTGCCGATTATAGCTAGAATTTCGAAAGGCCCAATGTACCTTGGATTTAGCTTACCACGTTTTCCGAAGTGTATCAAGCCCTTCCAAGGTGAGACCTTCAATAAAACAAGGTCACCAACCTCAAATTCCAAAGGTTTCTATCTTTTGTCAGCGTAGCTTTTCGGTCGATCCCTAGAGGCTTTCAATCGTTCATGAATCTTGTAACACCCCGTTCTTAAAGTATTTAATTATGAGTCCGTGAGATTTAAGAGGAAGGGTAATTTTGGTCCTTTTTAAGGAAATGGGTTTTATCCGAGAAGGTTTCGGACTGGTGTATGTGGTTAGAAGCATAGGGCTTCTCGTCACCCTCGTGTGGATGTAAAGTCTATTAGGAGTGGGTTTAGAGTAGAGGAGTTGCGGCGTTTTGGAAATTATAATTAATTATAGCTCTTAATGGAAAAGTGGAAAAAAGGGTTCCATGCAACCCATGCATGTGTTTTGAAGTTTGGCTGGGTACGCCCAGCATAAGCTGGACGTACGCCCTGCATAGTAGAGGAAAAATGCGGGGTGGCCAGGTGAGTACGCCCAGCGTACTAGAGGTATGCCCAGCGTACTCTCAGAAACCCCAAACCCTAATTTAAGGGCCACCACTATATAAGGAAAATGTTGGTTCATACCCCAACCTCCATAAGCTCACCCTTAACTTAAGAAACCCTAGAAACCCGTATTCCCTCCATTGTTGGGTGTGTTTGGCCTTTGGAAGCTCATTTTGGCAAAAGAAAAGCTAGATGGAGAAAGGAGAACTTTTCAAAGAAGAATAGGAACGATTGGAGCTTGTAGATCTGGAG